GGGTGAAAAGGGCGTTAAAAGGCGTGTATATAACGTAATGGGTTAATAAATCATTATTAGCAGAGAGAACAATAAAAAACAACTATTTTTTAGATTGATAACGTTTTACTGATTATGTTGATAACATATAATACATATAATACTTAAAGTTACTTGCAACTCTCATATACTATAAACTCTTTACTTTCACAGTGTAAGGTTTGTACATTTAGTGTAAGTGTGTACATTTAGTGTAATTGTGTACATTTATTGTAAGTGTGTAAAGTTAGTGTAAGTATGTATAGTCGGTGTTAGTTTGTACAGTACGTGTGTGTACAGTTACTGCAAGTGTGTTAAATTCTGACATTTTGTGTAAATGTGTACAGTTAGTGTGTGTACTTTTAGTGTATGTGGGTATAGCTAGCGTAATTATGTACATTTTGTGTACAGTTAGTGTAATGTGTGAACAGTAAGTGTAATCGTGTACAGTAAATGTAAGTGTGTACACTTGGTGTAAGTTTGTACAGTAAGTGTAAATTTTATGTGTACAGCTAGAGTAAGTGTGTACAATTAATGTAAAGTGTTTACAGTTAGCGTAAGTGTTTACAATAAGTGTAGGTGTGTACAGTTAGTGTGAGTCATAAAATAAAGAAATAATCTCACGAAGTCAAATTATCGAATTCTTAATAGTAATATATCTTAACTCAAATGGGACACAAACGCCAAAACTGTGATTTGTTTCGTTTCAAAATTGATTTATCTTACCCAAAGATTAAATAATGATAGAAAAGATATATGTTTGGGTATCGTGAAGCTGTAATCTGTATCTTCTTGAATATATTTATTTATCTGTCAAGTAATCGGTGAGTTTTTACAATTCAATTTTAATTCAACATTTTATTTGTTGTTAAATTATACATCTATCCAATAATACGAGATGTAATACATAATGTATGTACACAAGAGGTTCAAGTATACCTACTCATTCTTACAAAAATCAGAGACATTTTATCAATTTATTTCCAACGCAACATAATCGACTAGTAAAAGGGCGGTTAAAAAGAGTCACTACCTAGGGGACACTCTGTCAATTTTCCATGCAAAATAGCTTCTTTAATCACTGCTCAACGTTATCGTTGTTCCTAGCTGAATATGCTTAAGCAATGTATTGGACAAACAGTGCTGTACTTATGAAACAGGCTATCTATTTTTATTTTTTAACAATTTAACGACACAAAAACATTTCATCAGATCACAGGCACGATACTTTTTAACCCTTAACTTTCTTACTTTTTGCAATGGATTTTCCTTTGTCAGACCATCCGGTTGAGTTCACTAAACAAACTACAATAAGCTGCCAATGGTAAAGAGCTTGGTCAGACTGTCTAAGTGCCATGGTGTTTTATCCGCCATTAAATATTTCAAACTTGAATTATATGTTTTATACCAGTTTTAATGTGTAAATAAAATATGAAGTAGTGTTCAGAATATATTGTCAATCTAATGAGAGAATTATGTCCGTGACTGTTCAGACGTGATTGACGGGCAGGATGCCGTTCTAATATGATTTAAATCACTTGTGATTTTCTTTTATTTCTTTTCGTTAATTATTTAACGTTTCGCTAAAATATTATAGAATCTGTACATGTCCTTTGCGCTCCGAAAGTAAAAAAAAATCACATGCTGAAAATTAAGCACGCGAGGGAGAATCGCGAAGTCAAATTTAATATTTTATAATTTTTAATTCATTTTAGTAATGCATGGACGATTTTAAAGTTTATTCAAAGTGGCGTGGCATTATAAAAACGACTTTAAAACAGATAGAACGTTAAGTTAAATTAAGAATTGTATATTATTAATAGAATATTGAAATGCTATTTTTTATTTCCATAGTTTATGCCTCAGTCAGTAATGTTCATTCATCATTAAAAGACAAAAACTCAAAAACTGAATTATTTATCCCTAGAAATTCATTTTTTCTTTGTTTTTCTTTAGAAATATTTTTTTTCTAAAACACTTTATTTTACTAGTATTCTGCAGTGATTAAACTTTGTGTCTAGATTCATAACGATCAAAGGAATATTCATAAGAGAATAATCGACTAACACCTTTCATCAGCTTAAGATGTATAAAAAATGTCAAGAAGTTTTCAGTTTTAATTTAAAAAAAAAAGAATCTAAAGTCAAGCTTTCAGTAAATACCATCTACGGAATCGACCGAAATGGTTCGGACTTTTCCGTCTCACATCGGTAAAATATAATCATTATAAATAATCTGAGGTGCACCGAATGCTTTATATAAAATCCACTCGAATACATATTTAGTTTAATTCAGTGAATTACTGAATTCAAAATTTATAGGTCACTTTTTGGAAGATAATATCCTTTAAGGACGTGAATGGTGACATGTCCGAGGTCCGTACTCCTCAGTGCCTGAAAGGGCGAATGGACCCTCATTAAGCCTAGAATACAATACATAAAAAGAATGCTATATCTACAAGAGAAGAGCCTGCCTATAGGAATAACTTATCTTCCTTTTATAGGTTTTAGCATTTTTAACCTCTAACCTAAAGTGATACGATTTTGGCACAGACAGAATGTTCTTTTATTAAAACAAAGTGTTTTTTGCAAACATAAATTACTACCCTCGAATATGTTAGAAATAGTACGTTTGTACGAGTAAATATAATCAAGCTGGGACTTAAATGTTACCAGACTTAAAGTAACAAATCTTATTTATGTCATGTTTAAACCGAGAATTAGAGGAAAGGAGAGGAGGAACAGAAATATTGAAAGCTAAAACTGTGGCCAGATATACGTGTAACTTTTATTTTAATCTACATTTTTTTATATGTAGATAAAAGTATGTGCCATAATTCTAAATAGTAGAAGTTTTCTTCTTTGGTCAATAAATGTGGGAGGGCGGATTTGCCAATAGTTATATATATCGAACTAGGGATAAAATTTCATAGTGAAAATACAAACATGGGATAACGTGAGGGAACGATACCTGGCACCCTTTTCAATTGCGTTCTTCAAAGGTCTATAAATACATAGCAAAGTTTTGTATATTTCCAGATTCTTTATTTTGTTTTAGCAAATTGAGAAAAATAACAAAAAATATTCTAAAACAAGATTCAATAAACATTTAAAATGCAGACATAAATTTCTTGCCATTCAATATTTCAACAAAGTATACTTTTTAACACATATATTTTACATGACACAATCTCTAAACAAAGCTTGACAAAATGTATATTAATTTTGATAAAAAAAAGAAAATAATTGTAGATCTAAATTTACAACTTTTCTTAATTTCACAGATAAAAGAAAAATACCACAACGTTTAAGTTTATAAATGAGAATAAAGAAAATATAATGATATCAACAATAGGGCATATTCTAGAATTAAGTTTTTTTTTCTTCTTAATTTCGCCGGAATAAAAATTGTTCATTATTCAGATTCACCTGTTCATTTAATAACGATGTATCCAATTAGAACAACCGGGATATTAGCTAGCGCCTAATGCTATAGCTGAACCCAATACATCACATAGCAATTACCATTAACAAAATGTCGCTTTAACAACGATTAAATAATTAATAACTCACGACTTTCTCGGATTGTTTTTATTCTGTATAAATGTAAGAAATAAATGTAGATGTATAGATTAATGTTCATAAGTACGCATTTACAAAATTTAATTGGTCAATAGTGTTTGAAATTGTTTTTTTTTTAAATAAAAGTCGATTTGCTACATCAATTGTTTATCGATTTACCCAGTTAAATGAGTTACGAATCCTGCAATCCTATTGGACAAAAATTATTTTAATACTTAACTAGAAATAAAGACTGGTGAATGAATATTTACCAACTTGGCACGTGCATGTCTTATTCCCATTATTTCTTTAATCAATATATCATTAAACGTGCGTATATGTAGGCTTATCAGTTACCCGCTTTTTAGGCATTTGGGACGGTTGTAGTTATACCTTACAATTAAAATAGTTTAAGTATTATAAAAAATATATTAAATCATAAGAAGATTCTAATGTGTACATATTGTATAAGGGAGCTGTTTAGTTTACGAAATAATGCACCTTGTTCATAATTTTGATGTGAAAAATAAAATTTTAAAAATAGGATTCTATATTTTGAACGAATAAAAAACTTTTCTTACTATCTCGTGGTATTTGAGACCATATTGCCGTGTTGGTTACCTACAAGTGATTCAGTCCCTTTTGAGACAACAATTTATTCATAAAATGTGATGAGAAGTGAACTTAGAAAAGAAATCAGAAAAAAAACCTTTACCGTACAGCATTTCTTTACATAACACGTAGTCAGAGATGTATTTCTCTTTCGTCTTGTACGTAATTTACAACCAGTGTAGTGAACACAATTGGTCGATAAAAAAATGACGATGAAACGGAAAAAATGAAAAAATGAAAATAAAAAATATCAATTAAATTACATTAAACAAAAATACAAAACTCAGATTTGACCCTCAATTAGCACTTATTTATGTATGCAGTAAAAAGACTCGAGAACAAACTTTGCAACATTGTTCTAAACATCTTTCAGTGACATTATGCTAATCTTTTTTCATTGTCAAGATGGGCTGAATTGAATGTTGCACTCTTTTTGTAAATTGAAAGTTACGGGTAAATTCCAATAGATATTTATAGAAATTTCATATAACCATGTGAGTTTTTAATCGTTCATGGGAAGTAAATAAAAAAAATTGAAAGGAATTATGGGAAAATATAATTTCTTTCACGTTCACATGTTCACTCACAATATACCCTTGGATGGGCATAATGTCACTTCTATTTTGACACATAAATTTAAAATTGTATCAATACAATGGTAACTGAGACATTTTTTGTGGTTTAAAGTGGGCTAAAACAAGATGAACAAGTCTCATATGAGAATATTTTTCATGCAATTTATGCTATTTTTATGCCTTACTTATTCAAGCGTTTAATCTCGTTTTCAAATGGGGAGGAAATTAATATGTATTTATAATGAATAATATTGTATTTAACTATTTCTATTGAAAAACAACATGTAAACAAAAATTTCCTTTCTGAAGAAATGTGTTTACTGTAGAGAACCGATCCAATAATTATATTTAGTTTGAAAGTGATTTCAAGGAGTTTCATTTGAATTTAGACATAACAAACGGACAAAAAATTAAATAACCATGTATGATAAAAAAAACGTATACAGTTGTACCATTTAAGAACTACTTACATTTAAATGCACCAATTTCGAATATATGAAACATTAATGAGTACAGCACATTTATCATATCTGAACTATATATATATAAATCTATTTTAAAGTCAAGCACATTTTTGTGACCAATTAGTCATAACACTCATATAAAGCACACCAAAAGCACAGTATGGAGATCACACGATTAATCTCGTAAAAAAGAGGGATTTCGTCACCAAACACAACATTATTGTTACACAATGACTGTATACAAAATCAGTTTGAGCACTATAGTACAGCCGGGTGCCGATAATGATCTTCCGGTTTGACCAGAACATAAGCTAGAGGCCGATGAACGTCACTACTTGATGGTAGGTAAGACGGCGGGCAGCATGGCACAATATATTGTCCAGGATGTCCTGTGTGCGCAGGCGCAGGAAGTGAACTTAACGCTGCGCTCTGCGCCTGAAGATATTGAGAGTATAACGATGACGTCATTTGTGACGACATATGTTCTGATAAAGATGTCCGCAAAGGTAAACTAGAAGTGTCAAGTTTGCTGCTGTTTTCCAAATGAGAGAGTAACGGGTGTGATGATAAACTTGTAGGTATACTGGTAGGAGGTTGAAATGCTCGCATTTTCTCGTTCAATATAGCCTGGTTCATTGCATTTTCTGCTTGGTTTGTTGAGAAAGTTGGATATGTGGGATGCAGTCCATTAAATGGATTGAAGCCGGGAACTAGAGGTAATGGAAATGCGTATTTGTCTTTCTTCATTAGAGATTTCGGTTTTCTACGTGGTCTGTATTTGTAATCAGGATGTTCTTTCATGTGTAATGCCCTGTAAACAAAATATTTATATTTAATTAAAATAGTCGTTTATAAAACAAAATAGTCGTGAATAAATTAAAAGTGTAGAGCATTAGATCTGTTATTATTTCTTTCAAGTAGTGATATAGAATCTAGATCATTAAACTTTTTAGAAGAGTTTTAAATCTATACAGCTTTAATTACTAAAAAATTAACAGCGGTAAATTGTAAATTATTAAAGGCACGTGACTTATTATTAGCAATTATTCATGCTTGAAATAGTTATCTGTAAACTAGACTTGTTAAATACATTCTAATACCATCTCGATAATTTCTTAATTAAAGTTTCTATTTTCCACTTGGCTGAGGTTTTTAATGCGTATTGAACTAATATGCAAAAAGTTTAAACAGCTAAACTAAAAATATTTCAGCAAATACTTAACCAATGATTGGTTTCTTATTCTATTGAATAACATTTATATTAATTTTTCTTAATTGTACCTGAGTCGTTTAGCTTCATCAATAAATGGTCGTTTTTCTTCCTCTGTTAGTAATTTCCAGTCAGCACCAAGACGCTTACTGATTTCTGAATTATGCATCTTCGGGTTTTCTTGTGCCATCTTGCGTCTTTGACCCCTAGACCAAACCATGAAAGCGTTCATTGGTCGCTTGACGTGGTCACCACAGTGCTTGGACATATCCGAGTCTCTGTCGGAGAGGCTTCCACCAGGCGACAAATCGTCCGGCATGTCCATAGAACTCATTTTTACTGACTTGACACGCTAAATAAATTTTCTATATTTATAATTGTAATTGTCAACGATATTAATTTTAGGTTTAACTTAACACGTATAAAGTATATCCGCTTATTTTTGCTCCAAATATTTTATTTGTACTGACTAATTAACTAAAATATGGCTCACGTAAATTCACAATTGAGTCTTTCAAAAAAATATATAAATTCCACTAAAAGTTAACCTTTTTTGTTACGAGTCCGCCTAACAAGTGATAAAATGACACTCTGATACCCCTATTTAAACCACGTGTAGAAGTCTTCATAAATACATCCTTTAGTGGTTGACAAAACCAACATAATAACTGTAATACTTTATATTCATTAGACATCAATTCGGAAGCTCAAAATCGCCAGGTGTCATTCAAAATAACAAGAAACCAACAAATAACATGAAAGCGTCACCCGATACAGGCGAACTACTTTATTGGCTCAAAAGCAGACTTTTTACTTCGTGGTTATTGGGCAGTAGAATAAATAGGCGCGTTAAGTCCCGCCTCTTTGCGATAATCGAATTTACAGATTTTTCAAAGCGCTAAAAATTGCCACAAGACGTTTATGTGTTACTTTATTGTTTAAGGAGTAATTTTTGGTTATTTGGCTGATTTAAGAACGATGGACTGTAGTTAAAATACTGAAAGAAATTGACTTAAGAATTTTCACTAAAAATAAAACGTTTGTTTAAATAATATAGTGAAAATAATGGCTGCTTTTAAACTATATTCATAATTGATGGACATGATTTTATACAACGTTTAATTATGTATATTTTTAAATGGTTGTGCTTTTAGAAATATGTAGTTTAATAAACAATAACTTCTAATTGGTATTTATTGGTGGTCGAATAGCTGATGTCAATATATTTTGTTTAATGTACTATATAGCAAAATGCATTTTTTATTATTTCAATTTTATTTATCTATATGAGGATCATTATAATATCGCGTGATGACAAAAGAACATTAAAATGCAAATAATTGTACTTATTTATCCTAAATAATTAAAAAAAAAGATATTTTGGGTCAGTCATTATTTCTTTTAAAAAAAATACACGGAATGTTTTCTTCTTATTTGATTGTTTTCAATATTAGTTATAAAGATTTTCGACAGGTTATATGACCCCATATAAACGTCTGTTTCGAAATATAACCCGAGCCGCTAGGCGAGAGTTATATTGCAATCAACTGTTTATATACGGTCATAAAACTTGGCAGGAATATTTATAACGAATTTATTATACAGATTTATAATACAGCAAAATTCCTTTTTTATAGAAAAAAGTGAGATTTCTTAGAAAATTGACAGCAGCCGTGTATATAAAATATATAAACGTCACGATTATCCAATGAAAAGTGACGATACAACCTTGTAGCATTATAATTACTCTTTAACAATTGACTTCGTATATCTTTATCAAATCTCGCAGTTTGTCCGTATGTTATATCTACATTGAAATCGTTTACAATTTCAGATTTATATACTCACGACAACAGAAGTCCAATGTTATGTGCCAGCAGTAAAAATGTTGTCCTATACTTCACCTCAGTTGCGCTTATTTTTATCATTGATTCCAACATTGTAGTATTTTGGATTGGATAACTCTAAGGCGGCGCTAGGAGGCGTAAAATGTGTTGCATATTACATTATCTCTCATGAACAGACTATGGAACTTTCAAGTATTTACCTTGTTTCCCTTGTTTCCCTCGATGCACACGCCTATTCCAGATTGCTTGCTGCTGACGGCCATTTAAATTAACTGACGAGCTTTTTACGATCTTATGATGGATGGTTGGTTGTCCTTCACGAAGGACCATCGACCCAATTTTGGCACAGTTTTTAGAATGCTTTGTATATCGCATTATTATTATTATTATTATTATTATTATTATCATTATTATTATTATTATTATTATTATTATTATTATTATTATTATTATTATACTTTTATTATGTAAAAAAGCTTTAAAGTAAAATAGTAAATACGATTCATATATTTGTTTCGAACAACCTGGTGTCTTAAAATTGATATGTAACATGCTGCTGACATTTTATTACTGATGTAATATGTAGTTGGTTTATTCTATCATTTTGTTGTCGCTGCTGTTGTACTACAATGTTACTATCTCATGATGAAAACCATCCTGTATCAACTACGGTTCTAATTTGAGCGTGTTAGAAAATAAACAATATGTGCTCAACACAAGCTGTGGTCCTCTTTGATCAATCGTTCAACTCTTGATAATTTCGTCTGCTGCTTCTTTTCTGCTGTCTGTAATTGTTTGTTGTTGTTGTTTATTTATTTCTTCTCATTTTATTCTTCTTCTTTGAAGCGTGATCAAACTATCTGTTGTGTTATACATACATGTATTAAAATTGATCCTTAACTTATAAGTTATACAACCTTTAGCAATTAGAATAGTTTAATTTCAGTCAAAACAAGGAAATAAGTATTTCCAGTTAATAACATTACAAAACTGACGTTTAAAATATCAGTATTTTTTATTTTCGACAAAATCGAGCAATGATACAATTAGTGAAACATTTAAATATATATCTACAAATATCATGAATATGCTATCGTGTTGACATTGTCTTTTAAATCATGCTTCATATCTTGTCATATATTTTATCATGATATTTGTACTTTCATTCATTCATTCGTTCATTTATTCATTCATTCATTCATTCATTTATTCAAACATTCATTCATTCATTCATTCATCCATTCATCTATTCATTCATTCATTCATTTGTTTACTCACTCACACCCTCCCTCACTCGTTCGCTCGTTCGTTCGTTCGTTCGTTCAATCATTCATTCATTCATTTTTCTAAAAACCCTCTCCCTCATCCAATTCATAAAGCGTTTATAGAAAGCTGAGTGTTATCGCTGCTCGATGTCATATGAACGCTTACTAATTGATCAATATTACCATATTAAAACTTAAGATATTTGAACACGAGATAAATATAATTCAATTTGACAAGCTGAACAAATATACATAACAGATTGTGTTATCTTTAATTATGTTATTTTGAATATCTAACAAGTCTTTGTATATAATAAACCAAAACAAAAACGAGGTGTAAACTTTAAAGTTACTTACAAATTTGATAATTTGATAATTCACTATTTTTGAAAGTGAAAACGTGTATTTTGAAACGTATGCAATCAAATTTAACATTATTTTTTTCTGCTGTAATATGATTAATATAAGATTTAATCTGCCGATGAATTTAAGTTTTTTCCCCCTCACAAATCATGTTTCTATGTATATTAATGGATATCATCAGGGATTAAGTTACAGTATATGATTAAAATGAATACTCGTTTGTCCGTCTGTCTGTTTACCCGCGTGTATTATGCTCTTTTATCTATTTTCGTATTTGACACACCCATTTCGTTATATTTGATTTCATTCAATTTTGGCTGTTATATCAATATACCCGTAATAATACATGTATCTGTAACTAGTAAAATAGTACTTTTAGTGAAATAAACAGCGTCTAATATTATAGAATAAAACAGAATAAATTCCATGGAAAACACATATACATGAGGCTCTATATGCATTGTTTCATGGTACCAATTTCCGTTTTATTTATTTATCTATTTATTTATTTATTTTTGCCAAAAGACATTGTATAAAATATTGAATAAGATAAAGATGCGACAGCTTACATTGGAATTAGATTGAAATTCTGTAGCAAAGTGGTTACACATCTTTTTATTATTTTTGCAGATGTTGGAAGCTATCGGCATTACGCTAATGTCATATATGGTCTTCAGCCATCAGTAATATTTTAGTAAGTGAACACGTGACCTTGATTCTAAACTATAATCTAAATAATACATAATTGCTAGTAAAATTTAGCTGTCCATTGTTGCAAAGCAATTATTGCATATTGATTAGTTTTAAAACCTGGAAAAATGAATGCAATGAAAATAGCAATATAATATGAAAATTGCAGTCTTGGTTTGAGTTCTGTCTGTTCATAAGAGATAATGTATAACTGCAAACTCTTTCACGCCCCCTAGCACCGTCTTAAACGATTTTCAAATTTCAACACTAACGTGCTGGAATCAATAGTCCCGAAAGACCATAAAAAAGACATACCGGTATAATTATGAGTTTGCTGGAAAAACTTTTTGTATAACCTTTGAAAACTCCAAAAATCTAAACATAGAATTAAACGCTTTTTTTATATATTGACAACAGCTTGAGTCAGGTCAATTCAGACATTAGAAACAAACATTTTTTTTATCCGAAACATTAGATATTTGCTAGTGTTTGTTTCATCACTTAATTCAGAAATTTGATATAAACATATAACAATAAGGCGGTTTTATACGAATAATAAAGAATAATCAGACCTAATTCTAGATTTTGCTAGGTAATACAGCGTCCATTTCATTGTAGAATATTCTTTATAATCAGGACCCTTCGGGACTCCACGTTTTTCTCGCGTCAATGGGCAATTCAATAAATAATGTTTCCGTACAAAACAACATAGCTAGTATTCATTAGTCTTAAGTGTTGCTATTGTTTATGATTTTAGTGTTGGCATTATCGAGATTTCAATAAAAGCTCTTTAAGAAACAAAGCTTTGTATTTTAAAGAATTTCTGTGGATTGAATCTAAAAGGGCGTAATGCGCCTGCGTCATTGTTTCGTTCTTTATGCAGTTTTCGCGAGTAAGATATAAAGTTTCCCATTTCTTCTCATTTATGGTTTTATCTTTGATTGTAATCTTTGTGTCGGAAGGATGCGACATAATAGTGTTTCTAATGGATGCGATTGTACATAATTGTGGCGCATTTTCCGGATGAGTTTACCGATTGTCATGTGATTTGGATAAAATAATGCACCGGTGAAGCATTAAATTTATCCCATCATCATAAATCTCGCGATAATTCACATCTCTTATTATGGCATTGTTTTGACAAAAGTGATCGCCCTTTAATCACAGATATGCCAATAAAGATATCAAGGCCAAACAAATGTATTCTTGTTTCAAAAGTAACGAAATAAATGTTGTGATATTGTAATTAATTGAAACACTAGCTTAATAGTTAAAAATCTTAAAAACAAGACCCAATGAATATAAAATAAAATAAGTAGCTAAAAACCTAGTTACAGAATAATTTTATACCGGCAAATCTTTTTCATTCTTCACATGTAAAGCCAGGAACAATTCGAGCGCTTTTATCATCATATGAAAGGTCACTGGAAGTCTTAGCTTTCACAACACAATATGTTTACATATTACTATAAGATAATTCGTTATATACTATCTTGACATT